CATATCATTTATGAATCCTTGTGTTACGTATATTTTATTAAACTTAACCTAAACTCACGTTACCAAAAACTGTACCCCAGCATGTTTTAAAAAGCAGTAACTTAATTATCGTTCCGTTTAGGTTTCTTGAAGTTTATTTGCTTCAAAATATTAAATCAACATTTTAAGCTAAAACTAAAGGCCACAGTAAATAAGCAACTTGAAATCAAATAAGAAAGTGAGTTACAGAGTTGACTTCGTCTTAAAAATGAAAGGTATATCGTCAACATTATTACACGTTTTTGAGTGAGGAGCATGAAAACTTAACTTTGCCCTCGCTGATATTCGAATCATGGATACTCCAATTATCTGAACAATGTGATAACCACTCACACTACTAGAGTACGCATGAGGGAATGCGATAATTCTTTACAATGCTATTATAAGTTATAGAAGCTATTGATTATATGGCTAAATAAAATAGTTTTGAGAACTGAACTGAACTAAAAATGATACATAGTAATCATAATAGCTGATACATAAAGACAAGTATGTCAAGTGAAGTTACGTCATATATTTTTCCAAAAATATATTATGTAACTGTTAATAATTAAGTTTATTTCTGATTACAAATATAGTGTACGCGATTTTAAGTGATGTTAAATGCTTCGTCATCAAATTTATTCGTTAATTCTCTTAACACTACTAATATAATTTTCTTAGACTTGATTGACTTTCTTATAACAATTTCTACAAAAAAATCATATTTTAAACTACTCCAAATGCTTTTAACTTCTTGCAATTCAATATAATTACTTTAATTTTTTTTTTCCTAAGATGCACAACGATTCGGAGAAAAAATGGGAAAAAAAAAATTTTTCCTCGTTATTAAAAAAAATCTAATTATGAAAAGTTCTCAGAATTTTGAAGTTCTAGAAATGATGTATTCTCTAAAACACAATAATGAACTGGAAGTGTTTCCTTAGTTTCTGTATGAAAAAACACAATTTTCAAACTCTTTCCCCCATTGCATACACAGTTTTAATAAGAAAGCATTGTTCTATATTTTTATTTAAAATATAATTTAGAACAAAATTAGGGGAAAATACCCATATTATAATTATCCTTAATGTTTAATGTAAAACTGCTGTTATTATTGTTATTATCTCAATCAGCTATTCTAAAAAATTCGGAAAAAATGTTTTGTTACTTTGAGCTTTTACTCAAATCTCGTATGTATCTCTTGTTCACGATCTTCATAACCATGAATTATAAAAATGCCGTAGAGAATATTAAGTTTTTCAGTACGTGAAACGTGAAAAATCATCTGTGCGCTCTACAGGGTTCGAATCCCGAATCTAATAGTTGCTAGCTGAATGTGCTAAGTACTTACAACACTACTACAGCACAATGCAATAATTCCTTGCAAAGCTATAAAATTAAATTTTTGATGCGCGTTATATATGTTTAAAACAAGTATACGAAAATTACTTTTGTCTGTGCCATATTCAAGACATTTTTAGAAGTTTTGAAAACGCAAATTAAAATCAAGCAGGCAAAATTGACACATTCTGTGAATATTGATTCGTTAGTAAAATTATATATTTGTAAGTATTTTTCAAGTACGTTGTCAATCTTTTATGGAAGTAATTAATAACTTCATTGAGGTAAAATATGTTCATTAGATTTTTGTGGGGGGGGTGAAGTCATCGAGATATACCTGACCAAATAAATCCATAACCACAATTTTTAGGTTTCCGTTATCCTTCCAGACCACTTCAAGATTATAACAGAAAGAACTTTAAGTTGGGCTGCAAAGAAAGTACAAATAGTGAGAACCTCATAGAGAAATTCTAAGATTATTCAAAGAGTTTTCACTTTCAAGTTAAGTACTTCATTACATAATGCTGTTATACCGGTAGAATATTTTTTTAATGAAGCACAGTATGTCTTTCAAAACATATGATGATTTTTCCCCTTTATTTGTAACATAAAAAATCATTGTTATATAATAGCTGCATGTTTAGTTTATGAAAAACAGAGAAAAAAAGCGTAAATAAATTTGAAAGATTCACGATCACTTTCATCTGTTATGTATTGAATATGAGAAGTTTTCCTTTTATAAAGATTATAACCAGGGACGAGATCACAGGGTGTGCTATGCTTGAGACACGTGCCTATAAATTTGAAATTGTTTAAAACTGTGTAATGTATTAGTTTATTCTAAAGATGTTTATTCTTATTTGTGGGCTTCTTTCAAAATTCCGCATGTTGATGTATTATACCTGTGTAGCGTTGTGACCACGGCTAGCTGTAAATTTGTTAAACAAAACTGGTAAAATATAAACCAGTACGAACTTTAACATTTAACAAAAAGAATTTAATTACACACACAAACACTACATAAAGAAAGTTACATGACAAAACTAACAAGAAGTAACACAAAGAAATATTACTCAAATGAAAATAAATAAGACATGTTCATAGTCCTCTGCCGAAACTCCAACTAATTAGTTCGGGCGTAGGTGTTTTTGAATAGCGTCCGATAAGGTGGCGCTGCAGTACATGGGGCTGTTTACTAGCGTTCGTTACTCCTGTAATATTAAATGAAGCATCGTTTTCCTCATATTTGAAGCATAGATAAAAATGAGACTGAGGCTTTTAAAGGACTTAACCAATATTTCGATCGTGCAATGAAAACAGTTACTTAAAAATGGTAAAATTGAGAGGGCATGTGCAGTAAATATAAATGTAAAAATACGAGACCTACTCGAGCTGCATAATGCAAGAAAACTAGTTAGTTAATAATTTTTATGATGTTAAAAAAAAGTTTTCTTTTTCCGTGATCATTTGTAAATTATGGATTTAAGAAATTCAGTGTGTTATTAGTATCTGTTTTAAGACGGGAAAAAATTCATTCAGATAAAGACTTGAATTAAGCCAATGTCCGATTCCGGTACTTCTCAGGTTTTGTGTGAAATCGTAATTGTAGCCACAGTGCAAAAGAACTACAAATCAGATAAACTTCGTTGTATACCTGAATTGCAATATTAGTGGAGAATACCGTTAACAGTAAATATTAATGCTATATTTTATTAAGCAGTTAGTAAAAGTGATATTTGTACTAGAAACAAGAAACAGAATGATCGCCTGAATCTCCATATGAAGAGCAAAATGCGTAGGAAAACTTGAGCAGCTTAGGAAGAAAATTTTCCGTGCGAACCCCAAAAGAGATTTTTATGGGCTGTATTCATTTGGTCAAAATGTGTTTAAATGGATTAGATTCCAAAATAAAAATTCACATTTATCTCATGCGAAGGAAAATATTTTTCTTTCCACTTAAATAAAATAAAATTGCACTAAAGAATTTGTATATCAATTTATACCATTAGTTTCCGTAACGTAAGTGAACTGAATCCCTGATTTTACCAATATCAGACCTAACTGTACCAGAGTTCAACTTTGATCTAGCACTAGGATAAATTAATAAATGATTAGCATAATTTATTTACTGATAATGCTTGGAAATATGTTGTAGTGCGACATGCATCAGTCATGAAAACTGCTTTATGGCTCTAGGATATAAACTGTTCTCAAACTTGGAATGTAAAAACTTCCGTTTCAGACCTTAAATCTAATTAATTTAAACATTTTACTGTGTATATTTCATTATTTTACATGCTGCGTAATATTTAACAATATTTTAATACGAAAGCAGTATATCCAGCTTTCAAATACATGTAATTTTAACCACCATTCATAAGTACTTTTTTAATAGGGATTCAGCAACATGCCCTATAAGAAAACTCGGGATACGGCCCTGGTTACAACTATAGTCGCTGGAGATCAAAATGTTTTATTCCCTACACTGTAGCCACTGCTTGTGTTGAAATTGTTGAGTTTTTAATCAAACATTCGTTCAAATTTTACAAACTATGAAATAAACAATAAGACAAATTCCAAATTCGGGCTGCCAGGTGTCCATGTTCGGGTGGAGGACTATGTTATTCAAAATTTGATGACTCTAGGTACCTTTGATTTTCACAATTAAAGTTGTGAAAAAGCACTTCAACATACATAACTTCATGTACATTCTTCAGTATTTAGTTTCTTTAAATATAATACAAAGCAATAATATTTCGTGGCAACAATTTGAAAAGTGATACTGATGTTTATAGTAATTCGACGCAAAATGTCATTTCGAGACTAATAGCCCTTCTGGGATAACGCCCATTTGGGCTAAAATGATAAATATCATATTGCATAAAGTTAAAAGCATATAGTAGTAAACAGTAATGGAATAGACTTGCTGTATAAAGGGAAAACAACGATCATTTATATATTACAAAAAATTTTATGTACTAGTTGTTTAGAATTTATTTTTATTTTGCGTAGTTTGTTTCGAAATTTTCAAATTGGGTCATAGTAAATCTGGATTGATCGAAGCCTTGCTATGCGAAATATTAGAAGCATCAAAATGTCCCTTCAAATAATTTTTGAGAAAGAGGATATTACTGAGTTTTTTAAAGCAAAATGCCATACTACCTTACCTTCCTTGATAGCAGTTTTATCTTATCTTAGTTTCCTTCGCAAAATGTTTCAAAGCTAGATTTATAATTGGTATTTTACGCCTTGAGTTAACATTGAGAATATGTCAAATTTTATCTTTCGAAAGTTTCTTTAAAGAATTTAGTGTTTAACACATGAAATACTTAGTACAACTTCAATTTAAACATATCAAATTTTGTTTTACTTTTTGCATTAATTACAGATTTTTTTCAATGTATATGCTGTTCACAACTTCCATAATGCACTCATGTAAATTTTTTATATTTTCTGTATAGAACATTAAATAATCAGAAAACAACTTATTTCATTGTGGCATTACAGGAAAAAAAAAATCTTTTTGATCTTATCTGCTAATTAATAAAAGCTACCACAAAAATGTAAGAACAAGTGTAATTTTTATAACATTGATAACGAAGTGCATAAAAATAACACACTTTCCGTTTCTGTTTCAGCTTTACCCTTCCGTCCATGGTGATCAGTATGGGTCTGTCATTGACGAAATTCAACAGCATTTAAATGACCACGTGAAAACGTTGTCCAGCGGCGAAAAGTAAGTTCCTGAAGAAGAATTCTTTAAATATTTTTACAGAGTTTTTTAAAGAAACAAAAATTGCCTTAACGTATAACACACTTGTTAAGAAAAACGAACTTCATTTGATTCATTTCTTAAATATAACTTTAAATTTTTCAACAACGCGTGTATTGCACGGATATTTTGTTTCAGCTTTTAAAGTGTAGTTGAAAACAAAAGCTTATTTATGTAGCTGGACGTGTTCAATTTCTTGTTTTCTAATGCAATCTTAGAAGTTACCAAGTAAATTTTTTAAGTATATTTTCAGTTTCTTTTTGGACGACATAATTAACAAAAATATCTTGAGAGGTATGTTACCTATAATAAGTGTAATAAATTATTTTACTAATAATAATGCAAAGAGCTTCATTAAAATGTGCCATTTTGCTTAATAATTTTCAGTGAAACTGTACTGAGTTGAAGGCACACAAAAGAAAAATTATCATCTAAATAAATAAAAATCCATTACAGGAAGCGCAAGTTATTACGCGCAAATGTACGAGTATTCCTTTTGCCGCACTTCGTATTTATTACTTCTCCCCCCCAAAAAAAAATATATATATGCACATATATATACACACATACACATATATATGAATGAATATACACACATACATACAGATATATATGTATGCTAAAATCAGCTTTCGCGAGCGTGATAACGAAAAAATGTGTTAAAATCTTTTCTTGCCACGAGTAAAAATTCAATGAACAGTGACAACTTAGTTTTTTGTAAAACTCTTTTTATTTAAGCTTCAGACAGTATACAGTAATTTAAATTTCCTTTCGCGTTACACTTGATATTTATTTTGGTTGTTTTAAACATTTGTAACAGTAATTCTTTTTAATCGCAGCGTTTCGTCACCGTACGGAACTGCCCACTTACGCCATCTCGTGACGAACCTCGAAAGATTTTACAGACGAATGCAATCCCCGGAAAATTTCGCAGAAGAAGACATGAAGTTGGGCGGCTGTTGGTAAGTTAAATGTTTAAAAAGAGCTATAAAATAAAAACGAGAAAGGCTTTCGGATTTTACATTATGCCCCAAAGAGGGCGTTTTTTTAACGTTTTGTGGGTTACCTTTATTTATTAAATATCACGTTCTTTGCACTGAAACCATAAAATTCAGTTCAACAGCAATATCGCAAAATAACTTTAAAATGAGCATATCTTTAGAATTTCCGACACACAGTCTCACACGCTGGAGATAATCCCCCCCCCCGTACAGTGTTGCCATTGCTCGCTTTGAAATCGTTGAGTTTGCTAATCAAAAATTCGTTAAAGTTTTGCAAAATATGAAATCGATAAAACAAATTCCAAATTTGACTTTCCAGATGCCCATTTTCGGATGGCAATGTACGTTATTCAAAATTGCATGGCTCTAGGTACCGTCGTTTTATCACGATGCTTGAAACATACATACGTTTGTGCAGGTTCTTCATTATTTAATTTCTTTAAATATAACGCAGAACGATAATACGAGTATTTGGTACAACAATTTGAAAAGTAAAACGGACATTTAAAGTTTTTCGACGCGAAATGCCAAAACGAAATAAATAGCCCTCTGAGCTGACGCCCTTTGGGCTAAAAAGTATAAAAAGATATAGATATATATATATATATATATATATATATATATATATATATATATATATATATATATATATATATATATAGAGACTATTTTTATAAATTCGAGCGTTTTAAATTTAGAATGTCAAATAAATTTTATACAGTCTGTGGCAAAATGAAATATGTCGAGGCACTTTCACAGATAAAAGAAGAATACTTTGGAAAATTTAAAATTCCAGCTGGAACTAAAGAAAGAAAAGATAATTTCGAACATGCAAACTAACAACTGGTGTTGAAATATCAAGCATGTTTTATGCGTTTTATATTTGCCAGCGTTATAAAAAAGTGGTAAATACATGGCGACTACATTGGAGATGATACTTAATATTTTTCTTATAAGTAAATAAATATCATGCAGTTCCATGACATTATATGCTACCAATGAAACGATTACATTCAACTGCTATTTAATAGCAACCTCGCCAAATGGTAGGATAGTTTAATGCAAAAATTTGCTCTAAGTGTCTTTTTCGCATGTTGCCAGATGATCGCGATTTCAAGAATGAAGCTTTTATTTTTGTAAATAAATAAATGTATTTTGTAGTAACATAAAATAAGTTTTCTAAATATACAAATGATCTAAAATCCGTTTGTCCTCTTTAATTAAATTTGAAGTCTGATTTTTCTTTAAAAACATAATTTCCACAAAGTTTTACGACTGAATTTTTTAAAATCTTAAATGTATTAAAATGTCAAAAAAGATGTAAATAAATATTTAACTAAACATAACTGATCACTTAACTACAATTTACTTTAGTTCACTTACATTATCCACAATTTCATTATTTATTTCAAGATTTTACTTCTCTTAAGATATTCACAAGGCTTATTCAATTAGTGAAATGCATTTTTTTGAAGCCTTTCACATTCCTAAAAAAATTTACCTTCTTGAGTAAATTATATTAATTAAAATTTTTTTAACTGATGTTTTCAAAATTCTAATAACTTTTTTTACATTTAGCTTTTGTTTTCATTAATAGATGATGCTCAATTCTTTTAATAACTCGCTCTCCTTTTTCTTAAATCGTATTTAACTGTTTTCTGCTCCCATCACTCTAACGATTTTAGTCTGAAAGAGAGGGACTCACATCAGATCGTTATTAAAATCGATAGAATTTCTAATCCAGCTGAAAGCTGATTTGTTACCTGCTTTTAAATTTTGTATTAATTTGATGAATTTTCAACAGAAGGTTTTTCAAATAGAATGCGCAACCTAAGGAAATCAAGGATTATTTATTTGTTTTATTTTACAAGTGCCAAACATTAGCGCTTAAGCCATTAGTTCACGGCCTCTCAAGTAATTTTTAACAATGTCCTTATACTGACAAAGTGCAGTACAGTTATTTAAATGTTAAAAAGTCATAGGCTCATTGGAGTCACACAAAACACAGTGTTGTCTATATTATCTAATTGGTGTTGTCTATATCAGGGTTGGCCAAACTTCGTGTCAGTAAGAGCCGCACGTTTGAATTCAGGAATGTTCGAGAGCCGCATCTAGATTTTCTAAAAGCCACAAGTTCATATTTACATCATTATAGAAGTAGTGGAGGAGGTTTCAGATAGATAACTTTGTAAAAAAGTCTAAACTAATTAATTACTTCCTTTTGGACACTGAATAATTTTAGTTTACCATATTTCATGTATATATATTTTATATGCATAATGAGCCGCACAAATTGCCTGCGAGAGCCGTATCAGGTTCGCGAGCCGCACTTTAGCCACCCTGGTTTATATGTTAGCTATAGATCATTGAAAGTTTATAAGTCTCCCGTTCTAAAATTTAATTCTTAATATAATTTATTAGTGCGAAGAAAGGAATGCTTTCTTACGCCATAACTAAAAAATCTGATCTGTACATCACATGACTTCCTTGTACGGAATATTAAATTATACGCATTTTTTCTTGCATTTCATTTAAACTTACTGGATTGAATTAAATCTACTTCGCCGACAGCGCGTAAACCACAATAGAATAAATGCATTCTTTAAAATTCACTCTAGTATTTGTTTACCATAGCGACACTCTGGCGCTATATTCACTTAACAGCATTATATTTCGTTCATATTATAACTCAGAATGCACAAAATTTATAACATTTAAAGAATAGAATTATCTAATCGTTGCCACATGTTCTATTCAAATACTATAATAAAGCTAGAATGATGTATAAAAGAAATTAAGCAAACAAAACAAAAAAGAAACAGTTTTTCACAGACGATTGAGTATTTCTCATTTAATTAATTCAGTTCTCACTTCGCGAGAAGGCAAAAATACATAAAAACTCAAAATATCTATATTAAAAATTACGAAGTAAATCTTAAACACTTATTTCCTCGAAAAAATTCCAGAAAGGATTAAGCATGATTTAATTGGCACTAATAAATGAAGGCATTATCTTTGTTGTTGAGAAGCTAAGTTTCTCTAGATTGGCAACAAATCCACTAGTCTGCTGTTTCAAATGTAAACAATCAATGGCCGCCATCAAAAAAATAGCTTAGAGCATTTAAACAATTTTAAAATTGTTGATAATTCAAAACATATTGCATACAGATTTACTAAAGGAATAAAAACCTTAACCGGAAGATAAAAACAACATAATTCAATAATTTTTAAAGCAAAAAATGTACAATTTACAAACATATACGAGTAAAAAACTGAGATCACTGAGCCGGGTAACAGAGTGGATATATATATAAATATATTTATATACGTTTGGTGCAGCCGATTGCAACCAAAATACGAGGTGCACATCTACATGTTATAGCAGTCCTATATACAAAATTCCAACGTTCTGAGGCTACCCGTTTTTGAGTTATGCGAGATAGGTACGTACGTACTTTCGTACATGCGTTCGTACAGACGCCACGAAAACTTCTCTTCAGAATTAATTTTAAAGCAGTTTTTATAATTTTTTTGGAGGAAACGAGTCTTTTATTCTGTCCTTACGTACAGATATCACGCAAAAACATCGTTAAATTGCATTCGATAGCGGTCAAAATGGATATTTTCGTTGAACTATGCTGCCTGAAACTTTTCGAGATTACAATACTTCCTTTTTACTTCGTATAAGGAAGTAAAAAGACAGAAAAAAAAAAGATTAGTAGGAGTGAGTGCAAGAGCAGATTTGTAGATTTCGAGCTCAACGAGAGCGTAAAAAACCTCAACTAACCCTTTTGGGCGACCGTTAAAATCTGAAAACCTTTCAAACTTTTTTTTTTTTTTTTAACTTTTCATTTTCTAAGAAATGCTTTCTTTATTATTCAATTTTTATTATTAGTCCAAAGGGGCTTTGTTCCTGAAGGACTATTGTTTTCGTTTTTCGATTTTGCGTTGAATCACTATAAATGTCCGTTTCACTTTTCAAACTGTTGCCCCCAAATGTTAAAGTATTGTATTATATTTGAAGAAAAAAATTAAATAATGAAAAATCTTCATAAAATGTATGTCTATTTCTCCCATTGTGATAAAACAACGGTACGTAGAACCATCGAATTTTGAATGACGTAACCCTCCAACGAATATGGGCATGTGGAAGACCAAATTTGAAATTAGGAATTTGTTTTATGATCGATTTCATATTTTGTAAAACTTTAACGAATTTTTGAGTAACAAACTCAACGATTTAAAAGCGAGCAATGGCAACACTCTACGACGGGGGGGGGGGCAAACCTTTTTATTTCCAGCGGGCGCGGAACTGTGTATCGGAAATTCTAAAGATAGGATCATTTTAAAATTATTTTGCGCCATTGCTACTGAACTGAATTTTATGGTTTAAGTAAAAATAACATGATATTTAATAAATAAAGGTAACCCACAAAACGTTAAAAAACGCTCCTTTGGACGTAATTTAAAATCTGAAACCTTTCAGATTTTTAAAAATTTTTTATTTATTTTTTAAGACTGAGACATATGATAATTTTTTTTGGGGGGGCAGGGGACTCTTTAGATTCGAGATCTCCCGAAGGCACGATCTTCCGCTTCAGTCTGCGAAAAAGTAGTTCATAGTATTTTCAGAATTTGGGGCTTCTGTAAAGATAAAGTGTGCTCAGGTTTTCGCTTCAAGCTCAAAAAATATAGCCGAGATAATTATACAGTGTGAAATTATTTATCTTTAGATTATCAAGTGTGCCGCAGTTTTTTAAACGATCTTTTATAATAAGGATATTAAACTATAAAATTGTTTTAAGTTCCAGTTTAGGCGTCGAGACAAAATGTAATTAAAACATTCATACGGGGATTTGAAATTTATTTTAGAACTGACTTTGAAATTATGCATCATTAGCTATTGCCGGAACACAAATCGTTCTATCTGTCACTGTGCCTATCCACTAACTCGTTAAAAT